TGCTGTCCTCATACATGTCCTGCTGTCCTCATACATGTCCTGCTGTCTTCATACATGTCCTGCTGTCTTCATACATGTCCTGCTGTCTGCATACATGTCCTGCTGTCCTCATACGTGTCCTGCTGTTCTCATACATGTCCTGTAACAGTCTAACATACCACACCTCCACCCTCAGCACTCCGTCAGATGCTTTTTCTAAATCTACAAAGACACAATGGAGTTCTTTCTGACCCTCTCTGTTCTTCTCCATCATCATCCTCAAAACAAAGATGGCGTCTGTTGTGCTCTTTCTGGACATGAAACCATACTGCTGCTCACAGATAGTCACCTCTCGTCTAAGTCTTGCTTCCACAACTCTCTCCCAGATCTTCATCGTGTGACTCATCAACTTAATTCCCCTGTAGTTGCTACAACTCTGTACATCACCCTTGTTCTTCAAAATGGCCACCAGCACTTCTTCTCCATTCCGGAGGCATTTTCTCACCCTCAAATATGCCATGGAATGTTTGAGTCAAAAACCTCACTGCCATCTCTCCAAGACATTTCCAAACCTCCACTGGTCATCAGGTCCTACTGCCTTCCCCTTCATTTTTTTCAGAGCTTTCTGGACTTCACCCTCACTGATCTTTCCCACTTCCTGGTCCACAGTTTCTATGACCTCTGCTCTTCTTTCTCTTTCATTCTCTTCATTCATTAGCTCCTCAAAGTTCTCCTTCCATCTTCCCATCACACTCTTCTCACTTGTTAGATCATTACCATTCCTATCTTCAACAAGCCTAACCTGCTGCACATCCTCTCCAGCCTGATCCCTCTGTCTCTCCAATCGGTACAAGTCCTTCTCTCCCTCTTTAGTGTCCAGTCTCCCATACAACTCATCATTCATCTTCTGCTTTGTCTTAGCCACCTCCCTCTTTGCTCTACGTCCCATCTCCTTATATTCCTGTCTCCTCTCTTCAGTCCTCTCTCTGTCATATTTCTTCTTGGCTAATCTCTTTCTTTGAACATCTTCCTGCACTTCACTATTCCACCACCAGGTTTCCTGATCATCCCTTCTCTGTCCAGGTGACACACCAAGTACCTTCCTACCTGTCTCTCTAATTACTGTTGCTGTAGTAGTCCAGTCATCTGGAAGCTCTTTCTTACCACCCAGAGCCTTTAACAGCTCCTCTCTGAATTTATCACAACATTCTTCCTTCTTCATCTTCTACCATATGTTCCTCCCTCTTTTGGAAATAGGTGTTGACTACAGTCATTTCCATTCTCTTGGTCCTTCCTGGTTTCTTTCCTTGACACCAAACCTACCCATCACTTCCTCATCCTCTGTTTCCTTCACCAACATGTCCATTCAGGTCTGCTCCCATCACCACTCTCTCCTCCCTGGGAATACTCTCCATCACTTCATCCAGATCTTTACAAAATGTATCTTTCTCCTCCTCATCACATCCAACCTGTGGAGCATAACCACTGACAACATCTAGCATCAGACCTTCTACTTCTACCTTCAGACACATCACCCTATCTGACACTCGTTTCACCTCTACTACATTCTTTACCAACTCCTCCTTCAGGACCCCCCACTCCATTTCTCTTTCTATCCACACCATGGTAAAACAGTTTGAACTCTGCTCCAATGCTGCGAGTCTTGCTGCCCTTCCACTTGGTCTCTTGGACACACAAAACATCTACCTTCCTTCTCAGCATCATGTCAGCCAGCTCTCTACCTTTGCCTGTCATTGTCCCCACATTTAGAGCTGCAACCCTCAGTCCTATATTCTTCACTTTCCTCTTCTCTTCTGTTTCCTGACATGTTTCCCTCCTCGTGGGCTTCAACTAACACTAGCATAATTTCCGCCAGCACCCTGTTTGTCAACAGCACCAGTGGAGGTCGTTGTTAATCCGGGCCTCGACCATATGGTGTTGCTTAGATGAACTTGCATTATAGTTGTGGCGAAAGTGTTTTACGTTGGATGTCCTTCCTGACACAAGCCTCACCATTTACCTGGGCTTGGACCAGAACCAGAGATCCACTGGCTCGTGCTCCCTGGTGGCTGGTTTCTCTGGTAGATGGTTTATTGTCAATGAACTCTCAGTTCACTGCCAATAAGAATATTTATATTGATAAGTTTGATATTTTTAAACTTTGCTGCTTTCAGACATTTTAATTTTTTCCATATTTACAGAGACTTCACTTTCTGTTGAGAATTATTTATCAGGGTCTATTTAGATAAAAGCTTTTTAGAGATTCAAAGTTTTCTTTTCTTAACTTCAATGACCTAAAGTTCTCTTCCATTTTAGGGGATGCAACGAGCAACTAATGTCACCTACCAGGCTCATCATGTAAGCCGAAACAAGCGGGGGCAGGTGGTGGGTACAAGAGGAGGATTTAGGGGATGCGCTGTCTGGCTCACTGGTAAGAACACACTTCAGGATGCCGTTAGTTAACAGATTGTTCATAATTCATTTGCTCACTGCTGAAAGACAAATGCTGCTTGTATTGTTTTGTACATCAGTGCTTGTGTTTGTGTCTGTTACCAAAAAGATCTCATGAACCAAAGAACAAATTTGAAAACTTTCACTAAGTAATCAGTAATGCTGGAACATTGGAATAACATTTAGAGTGAACCTTTTTCAAGATGGCTGCCACAGCCAGCTGACCTTAAAACACAGAAATGACAACTCGCTCAGTTTTTCATTCATTCAACCTTTATTTCTACAGTTAGTGTCCGTGAGCCCCGAGGACGAGAGACCTGATTTAAAGAAAGCTTATAAACTGAAAAGACTAAATGAAAGAAAATGGTATTAAAAAAACAAAACAAAAACATCTCGATTATAAGACGGTGTAGAAACTAAAAACAGGAACATCTGCAGGAACTGAACAGATGTTTGAAGCCACTTAGAGAGGTCAAAGGTCGAGAGCTTCAGATCTTTTTACAAGATATTCCAGGAAACAGGAGCGGAGTAGGAGAAGGTCCTTTTGCCTAGTTCAGTCCTCACTGAGGGAACACTGCAGGTAATGATGTCCTGAGAGCGCACGCTGTAGCTGCACTCACACAGAGACATGTAGGAGGAGATGTATGAAGGCAGCAGACCAGGAAGTGATTTAAAGATGAAAATGTACCAGTGGGAGAGTCTGTGTGGAGTTAATGGTGACCAGTTAACCAGTGAATACTGGGTGCAGTGGTGGGTACGATAATCACAGCCAGTTATGAATCTTAGTGCACCATGATAGACAGCATCCAACATCTGCAGCATCCAACATCTGCAGCATCCAACATCTGCAGCATCCAACATCTGCAGCGTCCAACATCTGCAGCGTCCAACATCTGCAGCATCCAACATCTGCAGCGTCCAACATCTGCAGCGTCCAGCATCTGCAGCGTCCAACATCTGCAGCGTCCAACATCTGCAGCGTCCA